CTTGTCCCTGCCCTAGGCCCTGGCCGAGGGTGATCCTCCCAGCCCAACTCTAACCTCAGTCAGCAGACAGCTTGGTGGCCCAAAAGATGATGTGACCCTGCTCCTTGTGGTCCTGCCCTTCTCCAAACAATCGCTTGCCTCCTCAGTGTGTGTGTGTGTGTGTGTGTCAGGGAAGAAGGCACCTACATTTTGGCTACTGTCTTGAGTGGGGAGGGGCCTTCTACTGGCAGGAGGTCAGGTCAGCCCCATACCCTTCATAGTCCTCCACTGACTCCCCAGAACTCCCTCATCTCTCCCCTAAAGACTCCCGAGGGTCCCCGGGGGGCTTTGCCTCTATTGGCTGAGTCCCAGGGTAGAGGGGAGGCTGTCTCAGGAAATCTCCAGGGCAAAGGGCACGCAATGGGCAGAGCCCAGGAGAGAAGGACTCCTGGGATTGGGGTGGGTGTGCAGCAGGCCCCAAGGGGCATGTGGGGGTGGTGAGACCAGAGCCAGCACTTAATTAATCCAGAGCTATCCTTGGGCGGGGAACGGAGCCTTAACACCCCCAACACGGTACAACTCCTTGTAAGGTTGCCGTGCAGCTGGTTGGGGTTTTCTCTCTGGGATGTAGATCTCTGTCATAGGGCATTGCTCTCAGTACCGTTGCCCTGACGCCCCTTCCTGTCTCCTAGGCTGGCCTGAGGTGTTGGGATTCTGGCCAGGAGATGAGCCAACTTTGTGAGAGTCCTGCCTGGCTTCCTTGGTGCAATTAAGCTAGGATAGGAGTGAGCATTGGCCCTCCCACTACCCTTGGCTTTTCTTGCCCCCAAAATGTGCTGGTCTCACTCTGGGCCTGTGGCTGTCATTGGCCACTAGCCAGAAGGGAGGAGAGGGCTGGGAGAGAGGGCTGGCTTGGCTTGTTAGTGATAGAAACCTGTGGCACCTGAACCATGGCCTAATCATAACAAGAGTGAGCTGATTCATCCTTTCTAAGCCACCTGAGTGTTTCGGAGACCAGGGTACTAGGAGAGGTAGAGGCAGGGCAATGTGGCCTTAGAAGACTGACCTTAGATGACCCTTCACGGATCACTGCGTACCTGCTGCCTTGATGCCTGACCTCTCTGGGCCCGGCTCCCAATCCTTGCTTGGCCTTGCTTCAGGACTTTAGTCTTGTTCTGGCATTCAGTTTTTCCATCGGTACAGTGGGGGTAGTTGCCAGCTAGCACTCTGTGGCCCCTGGGGACTCCTTCCCTGGACAGTCCCACCCTCCCACCTCCCTACCTGCTTGTCCCTGGTGCTGTGCTGCCCTCATGTGCCTTGGAATACCCAACTGCAGCTTAGGGGCTGGGATGCACACAAGGCTGTCCTTCTGGACACTTTTGGGACCTTCCTGCTGGTGTCACAGCACCATCTACTGGACAGCCTTGGCTCTCCAGCTGGGGGCAGGGCCTGTACAAAGCTGTGCACCCCACTGCCTCTCCTGGGGGAATAGCCCTACCCTGTGAAACCAGGCCCAGTGTCTGTGTCACTCTGGGCTGAGGGACCTGGGTTCCAGGCTTAGCTCTGACATTTTTGATAAGACTGGCAGGTCAGAGAGTGAGAGCTGAAGAGTGTCTCAGGAAGTCTGAATTCACAGACAATGTCCAATTCCGCATCTTGGCTGCAGTGGGCACCTTGAGAACCCTATAGCATCTGCAGTGAGAGCTATAGTGGGAGGTAGGAAGCCTACCTCTTGTCCCATCTCCTTTATCAGTGACGTTGGGATGAATGCGTTTCATCCCAATATGGGGAACGGGGGTAGCCAAGTGAGCTGATCCTCTGTAAAGTCTGAAACCCCAAGAAAGGGGTCTTGGGAGTCATGTGGAGAGAAGCTGAACAGAAGGAGGCTCCTGGGATGGGGGTGGGGAGTATACATTGGAAATCTCTGTGTTGTATGACTCATGCGTTCATTCATTCATAGTCTTTATCGAGCATCTACTAAGTGCCAAGTTCTTAGGTGTGGCAACAAGCCAGTGAGAGCAGCAGTCCTCCGTTGCTTGTCTGGAACCCGTTCTGACAGCCCCTCCCTTTCTGTCTTTCTCTCTCTCTCCCCCAGGTCAGCAGTTGAGTAGCTGGGGCCCCTGAGGGCTTGAAGCCTTCACAGTGATGGCGGAGAAGCGGCCACTGGGGACCCTGGGGCCTGTGGTATATGGCAAACTCCCCCGCCTAGAGGCAGACTCCGGACCCGGGCACAGCCTGCCCCCCTCTGCTGGTAACCAGGACCCCTGCAGCTACAAGGGTGCCTACTTTTCCTGCCCTATGGGGGGTGCTCCCAAGGCAGGGTCTGAGCGGTTGGCATCCTGGACCCCATACCCACCCTTGTACCCTACCAGCGTGACAGGACCCCCTCTTCGGACAGACAACCTGTTGACCAGCTGCCTGCTCTACCGCCCGCCAGCAGAAAGCTCTGAGAAGGTGCAGGACTCTGGCCCTGTTGAGCTCCTGCCCTTCGGTCCCCAGTCTCATTCCTACCCAGGCCCACCGTTGGCGGTCCCCAAACCTGTTTACCGCAGCCCTCTGTGTTACGGGCTCTCGACTTGCCTGGGCGAAGGGGCGGTGAAGAGGCCACTGGATGTTGATTGGACAATGGTGACTGGACCCCTGTTACCCCCGGCTGACCCGCCTTGTTCACTGACCCCAACTCCTGGCAAGAGCCAGTCTCTGGATGGCACCTTCTTGCGTGGGGTGCCGGCTGGGGGATCCGGCAAAAACTCCGTGGGCTTCTCCCCATGTCAGGCATTCCTGGAGAAGTATCGGACCATCCACGGCACAGGCTTCCTAGCCTCCAAGTATGCGGGTCCTTACTCTGGGGACCCCAAGCAGGCATTGTCTGAGGGACCCCCAAGTCCTTGGACCCAGCTGGCCCAACCCTTGGGGCCAGCCTGCCAGGATACAGTGCCCACCCACTACCCACTCCCTCACCCTCACCCTCCACAGGCCCTGCCTTGCCCACCAGCCTGTCGCCACCCAGACAAGCAGGGCAGCTACAGCTCAGTGCTCCCACTGCAGCCTCTAGGAGCCCACAAAGGGACTGGGTACCCAGCTGGTGGGCTGAGCAGCCCCTACCTGAGGCAGCAGGCAGCCCAGACACCCTATATGCCCCCAGTGGGCCTGGACACTTTTTCCTACCCCTCTGCCCCGCTCCCAGCACCCTCACCAGGCCTCAAGCTGGAGCCGCCTCTTGCTCCCCGGTGCCCGCTGGACTTTGCTCCCCAGACACTGGGCTTTCCTTATGCCCGGGATGACCTCTCTCTCTATGGGGCATCCCCAGGGCTCGGAGGGACGCCACCTTCCCAAAACAGTGTGCAGGCTGTGCCACAGCCCGGTGCCTTCCAGCGAGGATGCCAGCCTCTCCCTGCCAGCCAGCCATGCCCAGAGCCCGGAAGGCCTGCAGAGAAGCCGGTGCGGGAAGCAGAGGAGAAGATGTGGCTGCCCAGCTGCAGGAAAGAGCAGCTCCAGCCCCAGCTTGATGAACACCCTGGAGCGCCTATTGTCATCGAAGATAGTCCGGGCCCTCGCACCCCGCCGGCACTCCCAGCCTGTGCCCAGGAGCGCCAGTCTCTTCCACAGAATCAGGGTACGCTGCCACCCAGCTCTCCACCCATGCCTGTTATTGACAATGTCTTCAGCCTGGCCCCCTACCGTGACTATCTGGATGTGCAGGCACCTGAGGACGCGGCCGAGCCTGACTCAGCCCCTGCCCCCAGGGAGAGCCCTGCCAAAGGCTGTGGGGAGCCCCTGCCAGCCCGGGAGACCCCTTCGAAGGCACGATGCTCGCTTCGAGAGGAGGTGGCACTGGACTTAAGTGTGAAGAAGCCCATGGCAGAGGCTCCAGTCAGGGTTCCTAGTCCTGCAGCGCATGCCAAGCCCCCGGCCCTGGATGCCCCTGGTGTGGGAAACACGGTCTCGGATCTGCCTGACCTGGAAAAGGTAGTCCCAGAGGCACCCGGGGCGCCAGCGACTACAGAGGCCACCCCTAGGACCAACTTCCATAGCTCCGTGGCCTTCATGTTCCGAAAATTCAAGATCCTCCGGCCGGCACCCTTGCCTGCAGCCGTAGTCCCATCTGCGCCTACCCCGGCCCCTGCGTCTGCCCAGCCTGTACCCACACCCACATCTGTGCCCCTTGGTCTACAGATTCTCAGCCAGCCCTTGCCCGTGGCCTGCTTCAACCTGGCGCTGCCCAATCCTCCAGCTGTAGCCATGACGTCCCCGACCCCAGCCCCTGCTCCGGCTCCATCGCCGGCCCAGGCCCAGGCCCCGACTCCGGCTTCTACCCCCGCCACGGCGGACTCCCCAGAGCAACACTTTACAGGACTGCATGCGTCCCTGTGCGATGCCATCTCAGGCTCGGTGGCCCATTCCCCACCCGAGAAGCTGCGCGAGTGGCTCGAGATGGCCGGGCCGTGGGGCCGGGCAGCATGGCAGGACTGCCAGGGCGTGCAGGGGCTGCTGGGCAAGCTGCTGTCACAGCTGCAGAGCTTCGTGTGCACCCAGCAGTGCCCCTTCCCCCACGTGGTGCGGGCCGGTGCCATCTTCGTGCCCATCCACCTGGTGAAGGAGCGGCTCTTCCCACGGTTGCCCCCCGCTTCCGTGGACCATGTGTTGCAGGAGCACCGTGTGGAGCTGCGGCCCACCACGCTGTCAGAGGAGCGGGCGCTGCGCGAGCGGGCCCTGCATGGCTGTACCTCGCGCATGCTCAAGCTGCTGGCGCTGCGCCAGCTGCCCGACATCTATCCTGACCTGCTGGGCCTGCAGTGGCGTGACTGTGTGCGCCGCCAGCTGGGTGAGCATGGGGCAGCCCCAGTAGCCACCGGAGCTGTGTGAGCGAGTGACAGGTGTGTGGGCTGTGTGAATGGTCACGGCTAGGGGCTGAGGGATGCCTGGACCTTGGAAAGGGCAGGGAGGCCCAAGAACTCATGCTGGGGAGGGGGCTGGCCATCCAGGGTAGGCTCTGTGGACCCCCCATCCCCACCCCCCCCTCGCCCCAGCACCGAGAGCCTTCACAGCCTCCTCTGTAAGCCTCTGAGCATGCCAACCGCTCTGTCCCTATGGAAACTTTCTTGGCCTTCCCCGGTGCAGCACCTTCCCAGATTCCCTCCTCCTCCTCTGCTGTGCCTTCTCTGGCTTTGGCGCAGGCTTCTCCTTTGGGTTCTCCTTTGGGTTCTAGGGCTCTGACGAGGCTGTGTTCTCTATCTGACGTCTTTCCCCACTGTGTCTGTGTCCCGCCCGGCTTCCCTTCTGGGCTTGGGCCGCAAAGAACTGAATGCATGTTGGCCTGTTGCACCTGATGTCTGTCTGACCCTTAACTCCTCCCAGACCCACGCTCCTGAGCTTCCCCCTAAGTCCTCTGTCCCCGCCTTCTCCATCTCAGTGAATGGCACCTCATCCCCGAAAGTGGACAGGAATCCCCCATCCCCTCCAAAACACTGTTGCCTTTTGAATGTGTAGTGTTTCAGTCCTCCCGCGTATTTATGGGTAGTGCACCCATAAGTCGGAGCAGTGTTTTGTGGTTTGCTTTTCCCCTACTAAATGATGCCTTGTGCATATTGTTCTTCAGCTCACTCTTTTTGTGTCCTGGAGCATCATGTGCATTGGTGTGGGTAGCTTGGCCCCGCTCTCAAGAGCTGCTGTGGTGTTTCATGGTGTGTACACTCACTTCTTTGGCCAGGACTTTGGTGATGGTACCAGGCGGTGTCCATCGTGGCCTCTCCTGCATGTGGCATACTGAGGCCTGAGGCCTGAGGCCTGTGACCCTCTCGGTAGTCTTTCTTCCCTTGCTGCTCTGCCATCCCTGCCACCAAGCCTGTGTCTGGGCTGTGTCTCCACAGGAGCTGTTTCTTGTCCCCTTGCCATGATGGCAACCTTGGCCTGGGCCCTTACCTTGTCCAAGTTTCAGGTCAGGGTGGAGAAGACCCTGAGGCAATGAGGCACAAATGTGGAGCTTGGGGTCTGGGTGACAAGCATTGCTGTCCCCTGAGCACTTAAACAGTTGGGACATTTGCCCTAATGGGTGCAAAGACCGTCTTGTTTCTGTACAATTGGGCTGTTAGGCCTAGAGAGGACAGGGCCGTATTTCCTGGACAGCTTGCTGGGCAATGGGGCCCAGGCACTTCATAGTCCCCTCCTGCTCTGACTGAGCCTGCTGGAATCTGGGGCATAGCGCAGAGTTGACTGGGACCCAGCTTCCTGCCGCTGGCTGGATTTGGCATCCCAGTCCCCACTCCCTCCCTGGGCTGTGGGTCCTCCCCCGATCCTTGGGGGGGTCCACCATTCTGTGGGTGTCCTTAGTGTTACCCTGACAGCCTCCCTTACTAGTAGGTGTGTTCTTGGTCAGAAGCCCCCCCCTTCTGTCCCCTCTGCTGCTTCCTCCACTCCAAGCTCTGGGGTGGTATGATGGAAAGATGATGGTGCTGATGTATAGCAGGGCCCTCTCTCATACCTCAGTTTCCCTGCCTGTACAGGCCAGTGGTTCCTGGCCTGTTGGCCCCTTTCTTTTTGTTCTTGCACCAGACACTTCTCCTGAGCAGTACCCTCATCAGACAGAGCTCTGGTATCACCAGGGGAGAATCACACCCTTTGGTTTGGTGGTCTGGCCTCCAGCACGTGTGGGGAAGGGTCATGATGTCTGTGACCCTGCTGGGGCCACACAGGCCCGAGCAGAGCGGAACCACTGGTTTAGGTGGCTGGGAGGCCAGGAGATGGGACCTAAGGGTGTTGGGGTCTGCAGCCTGACTGTGTGTTCATTTTCCAGGTGACTTGGACACTGAGGCTGGATCTGTGCCCTCCTCAGAACCCACCGTGGCCAGAGATGAGCCAGAAAGCCCAACCCTGGCCTGGAAGTCACCTGCCCCCAAGGCCAGGAAGCCGGGGAGGAAGCCACCAACCCCTGGCCCGGAGGAAGCAGAGGCAAATGCTGGGGAAGGGTCCCACGGTGCCTCACCTACCCCTGCCACCAGCGCCAGCCCACCTGGCCCCACACTAAGGGCTCGCTTCCGCAACCTGCTGGAAACTGCCTGGCTCAATGGCCTAGCACTGCCCACTTGGGGCCACAAGGCCTCAGGGCCGGATCGGCCCGTGCCCCACCCACAGGTGTTGGGTGGCCAGAGCCATCACCTGTAGCACTGGTTGCTGTTTGGACAGCTGCTGTGTGGGGGTCACTCTGTACCCTTATCTTGTAGGCCAGCGGCCCAGGGCCATCAGTGGATACACCCTTGGAGCTTCTCCAGCTCTTGCTGCCCCCACTGGGCTGGAGACCCCGCTTTTAACTTGAGGGCCTTCGTTAGAAAGAACTACTTCCTGTTTTTTTCCTTAGAGAAAATGTGTGGGCTTTGGAGCTCAACAGACTTGGGCTTGAATCCTGGCTCCTGTGTTCCTTGCTGTGTAACCAGGCAAGTCACTTCCTTCCTTGAGCTCCCAATTCTCCATTTGTAAGATAGGACAACGCAGCCTACCTCACAGGGTTGTTGTGGGGTGATGCCTGACACACACCCATTAGGGTTTGCTCTCTGCTCCCTCCCCGGGACCGGGGCCTAAATCCCAGCCGGGGCCTGGAGTAGGAGGCTAAGGCAAGCAGAACCTTCTTCTAGAAAGTCTTTGTGTGTCATGAGACTTGGTTATTGTACAGTGTGCATGACTTACACTTTCTAGAGTCATCCCCAGGAAAGCCTGGGGCTATACCCCCTCACTTGGTGTTGGGCCCTGACCCCCCAGCCTGGAGCACTCTGGGGAAGCCTGCTTCTTCCCTCCTGCACTACAGGGAGTGCAGGGATACAGCCTGGGGCTGACATCCTGTGTGTTTTCCCAAGAAGTTGTGTTTGCTAGAAGTCATGCAGCTGCAGGGACTCAGGGACTAGAAGAGACAGGCTGAATGACAGCTCAGTCCTGGGAGGTCTCTGAAGATATGGACTGGGGCCCCTGGCACTCCCAAGCTAGAGCCCCATCCGTCATGCCTGCTATGAGTTACCTCCTTGCAGAGTGCTAACCTGAGCCAGAGGCTGGCAGGCTGGGCCCTTGGCCTGGCTAAGGTTTGTCATAAGGCTGTGGGCCCTGGAGGCAGGCCATTAAACATTAAAAGCAATTGGGTTGTTTTTGGACCTGGGGCCTGGCTGTGTGTTTGGCGGGGCGTCCACAGGTTTAATAGGCCATCATCAGGTGCCTAGTCCTTAGCAGTTCTCCCTGTTCCCAGCCCAGAAGGTGCCAAGGCTCTCTGGCACCACTGTGCTGGCTTGCTCTGGCCATGTGGGTCCTTGTCACACCCACTGGCCAGCCACTTCCTTGCTTGGGGAAAGCCCGTCCCCTTGTGGGTCCTGGTGGCTTTTGGTCTATAGCACACCACCTGGTGAGAAATGCTAGTCACCACACACCCCAGCACCAAGGACATGCCCACCAAGGTGTACTTCATCCTTCACACGTGAGCTGGTGTGGGGAGACCCAGCACGCCCTCCAGAGACCCTGCCTCTGCTGGGCTCTTCCTGCAGAGGTTCGTCCTTGGGGCTGCTGTGGTGGTGTCTCACTCCATCTAGACCGGAGGCTGGTCTACTAGGGCTGGTCAGACCTGCCAGTGTCAGTCCTAGTGTTGGTGAGTCTTTCCTGAGCCCAGCTACAGGATCCCTCCTGGCTCTGCTTTGTGCCAATGGCTGAGCCCAGGCCTGTTTGGTTAGGCTTCTGACTCGGGTGGCCTCACTAGGCAAGACACTAGGTGCGTCTCTGGCCTCAGTTAATAAAAGGAAGATGGCACTCAGGTGAGCCTCCAGCTTGAGTGAGGCCCTGCCTCCTGGCTGCCCCACTTGGGGCTCTAACCCAGTACAAAAGGCTGAGGAGCCCGACCCACTAGCTTTGCCACCAGGAGTTAAGCCTTCAAGGTAAGTGATGGGGCAGCTTTGTCTCAGAGCCGGTGTTTTGGAAGGAAGAGAGCAGAGCTATGCCTGCCAAGGGGATTATGAAGAACCCCCCCTTGGTAATCAGGTGCTTCCTGCTCTGCCTTGTTCTCACTAAAGGGGTTGGGGTGAAAGGGCTGGGTCTCCCTAAACCCCCACAGGGGAGATGGAGCAAGGCCCAACCCTCCTGCCTGAATGTGCCTCTTCTGACCCCACAGTCCCCCTCCTAGAGTAGTGTCTCCAGCCCATGGGCTACCCCCTAACCCGGCCCGCTGCCCCTTCAGGCCCAGCCGCAGCTGAGGAAGGCTATAGGGACATCCCAGCCAGTGAGCACCAAGCCCTGCTGCAGGCTGATCTCTGCACTCCAGACCTCTTCCCAGGCAGTTCCTTCAGCCCCCAGCCCAGCCTAGTGCAGCCCTTCCAGGCCCCAAGTCAGGGGAAGGTCCTGCAGACCCCCTCCTATCTCTAGCAAGACAAGCCCCTGGACTGAGGCTGGCAGGGAGGTGGGCTCTTCAGGGACATTGTTGCCTCCATAGGGACCCTGGCCCTGGGTGTTCTAGCTGCTGCCCCTCGGAGGTGTCTACATCTGTAGAGCGATCCATCCCATTTAACACTCCCACCCCAAACCCCCTGCCTCTGTCCCAGAGGGACCCAACTCCCAGGCTCTGTGTCTTCTTGAGGCAGTGAAAGCCTGGGCTCCTGGGAAGAGGGTGCTGGCTCCCTTGGAAGAACCTTGAGAGGCCCCTCCTATGATTACTATGACTGGCAGGGGGTCCCTTGCTTCTTTCTCCACTAGCCACCAGATCAAATCCTCTGTGGACCTCTTCTCAGATGGGGGTGATGGGGCCAGAGAACGCTCCACTCCTGCCTCTAGTTTAGAGCCTGGGACTCCAAGCTTGGCAACTGCTTCTCAGACCCTATAAACCTCCCAGACCCAAGCATCCTGTCAGAAGAGCCGAAGCTTCAGCTCAGCACAGAAGCTAGAGGCTTCTGTCAGCCTCTGCCCTTCCATTGAAGTGTCCTTGGGTTTGGGCTTGCTTGCATCCACTCTGAGTGGGCAAGAGATCCTGAAGAAAGCCTCTACTCAGAGAGGCCTGGGTCCCCTGACAGACTTGGGCCCTGCCTGCCTCCTCTGTCCCTGGTGTGAGAGAGCCAGGGTCGCCCTCTCCAGCCTTCACTGTCACCCCTCCACTTGCCACCTGCTGGCCCTGAGGACACACTAGGTGTTCCCAGCCCTGTCCACTACCAACCTACCACCCTTGGCATCACCAGGTCAGCAGGTGGCAAGGGTGTCCAACTGAAGGACTGGTCCTTACCAGATCTGCCTGGCACTTCCCCAACACTGCCTTGCAACTCAGGGGCATCCTAGGACCCCAGCTTCTGGTAGCCTGGTCCTTTCCAGTTGTCAGCTTGGAGCCACCTTCTGGACCTGTGAATGCTGATGCATCTGGAGTTAGCTTAGATCCCCCTCCTGGCAGCCTGGTCTCCCAGCTTTCCTCAGGAAAGCTCTCAGGAGGCCTCTCCTGGCTCAGCTGATGCCATGCTCTGTACACCAGACTTGCTTTCCACGTAGTCCCAGCAGGTAGACCTTTTCCCATGTGGCCCCTGCCATGTAGACCCTAAACCTCCAGCTGGGCCCACCCTTGCAGAGGAGGTACCCACGGCTTCTGTAACACTTTCATGCTGGGCTCCATCCCAGGGACCCCTCGGGGGTCTGGTGCCATGGACCTGACACAGTCCAGGCCCCCTTCCTCCTCACACATCAGGGGCTCTGTGTCCACCGAGGCTCCTGACTGCTGCGAGACCCACACAAAGGCCTCAGAACCACAGGCCCCTTTCTGACTGATGGCCCTTCCACAGCCTGGATATTCAAGCCTCTGGGCAGAGGTTTAATGACCCCCAGCACATTCTTCGCAACCAGAGAAGCTACTTGGCACCAGGCCTTGGCTCTCTGGGCTGAGCTGGGTAGTAGTGGGAGTGTCTCTGAGGCCACCTGGGCAGAGGGGCTCAGTCCTAAGCAACCAGCACTCACAACTCCCGCCGTGTTCCTGTCAGCTCTCCTACCTTGGCTGCTGGGTTGCTATCCCAATTCAGCCACTGGTCATGGAGAGACCACGTCAGGAACCCACAGCCAGCTGGGAGGGTTTCTGCACCCCTTTATATGGTGCCCACTTGGGTGGGAGGGGCTTTGGGATCTGTTGGGGGGCGTGGCCTACAGGTCCTCTCTTCTCCACCCCAGCTCAGAAGTCTGCCCCAGAGGATGGGACTGCCCCCCTCGCAGAGGTGATCTGAATCAGCCAGTCCCAGCCCTGCCTTCAAGCAGAGCCCGTCCAGGTTTGTTTTTCCAGCTGGCCAGCAGACCCAAAGTCCCAGTGACGTCTGGGTGGCCTATGTCCTATCCCACTGTGTCCCTTGCCCCTGGAGAGGAGTCTGCCTCCAGTCCTGGCCTGGAAATCGGATACCTTTGGGTTGGAGGCCACATCTGGCAGGTTCCGGAACAGCCTGCCATGGCCAGGGCAGGTACCATGTCTGAAGCCCCAGGCTTGCCTGCCAAGGCTCCCATGCTCCTCTCCACTTCCATGCGCATCGTCTATGCACCACTCCTGATGAATCCAGGCTCTGTCTGTGTTCACCAGCTCAGCTGGGAAGTTGCATTGACCGTAAGGAGAATAGTACCACCCAAGTTGTTGACCAAGAAGGGAGAAGCCTGGTTTGGAGATGGGTGGAAGAGGGGCTGTGGCACAATGTCTGCGAGCTCTTCTCTGCTTAGCTTCCTTTTTCCTTGGCCCTCAAAGAAAGCAGTTTTCTCCATGTCTCCTACCCTGCCCCAAGCACACAACACTGCCCCTGGTCTTTCTTTCCCTAGAATGTCTCCTCCACCTCCCTGTGGGACTGACAGCTTTGTGTTGCCCTGGGATCCTTGTGAGATGTGGTTATCCCTGCTTTCCTCAACAAAGAGGGCCAACTGAGGCAGAGAGAGGTGGAAGTCCCCACCCCCCATGGCCCCAGCCCTTCTCTGGGTGGTCATGCCTAGTGGGTGCTAAGCTTAGAGGCCTCCCTCTTACCAGCCTTCTCTTAGCTCAGGCACATGCTGTCCTCACACCCAGCTTCCTAAAAGAGTCTGTTTCTAGTAAGTCTTCTTGGCTCCATGAGGCTGGATGAGGCTCTAAGCCTGGGGTTAGGGCCCTGCCCTGTCTGCCTCTCAAGCCCCTTCCAGGCTAGGGAGAGACCTGGGCCCTCCATTGCTACTGATACCCACTAGCTGTGCCCTGTTCATGTCCGCTCCCTGCAGCGAGAGGTCAGTCTGGGTGCAGAGTCGGGTGGAGGCCTAGGGGTACTTTGTGCCCACTAGCTCATATCCGTGCCCTGTGGTAGCCAACATGTGCCAGCTCGTGGGCCTGGCCTCACTCAGCCCCAGTGGTGAATGGAAGGATGCTCACTATCTTCTAGAACATGCCCACCACACCTTTGTGCCT